AAACAAGGTAATATATATATTCATAAATTTAAAAACTTCATTTTTTTATCAAATATATACAAAGTTTCTATACTTTTCAAAGTGTTTACGTTAGAAGATATAATAATAATAATAATAATAATAATAATAATAATAATAATAATAATAATAATAATAATAATAATAATAATAATAATAATAATAATAATAATAATCTATTTCCTTTATTTGATAATTTGCGATTTTTATTACGTTGATACCATATCTCGATGAATTCCAAAAACCTTAAAAAAAATTATGAAAATGTGTTAAAATTTTCAATCCATAGATTTAGAAATTAGTGGTGTTTATACCTTTTTTTTTTTTGGATAAAAGATATGCATTCAATTAAATCAAAACATTAGGTACAGAGTGATGAATGCCTGCGGCGGCCTAGTACAGATCTCGCGATCAAGAAAAAGGCAACCGAGTCCCGTGAGGAGGCGAACCACAACACAGTTGGATGCTCAGCTCCGAGAGCGATGGGTTCCGCCTTCGAAGGGCTGCAAGTGCAATCAATCTCCCTGAAAATCGCGGCATGATCCGCAAAGTTCCGAGCATGCAGTCTACTGTTTCGCTCTCTCCCGATTGTGTATGTTGCATCCCTGTCCGCATTTCAATGCCTGCAGAACCCGCGGCCAAGAGAAATCATGTAGCTGGACCGAGAGTTTGGTCATCGCCCAGTTCAATGTGAGTGCCGATACAGGGCAGGCGTAGAAAACACGGCCCCTCGTCTCGGGGCCGGAGTTACAGAGCAGGCAGCGCGGGTCGATTTGAATCCCCCAGGACAACAACCTGTCTTTGGTCGGACATATATTGCTCTCAAACATCATTCACGAGAATTAAGGGCGTAAAACGAGCCCGTATCTTGCATTGTCTCGCCAGGCGCCCCATATTTCTCCGAGTCGTGCTCAGAATATTTGAATAAGAAAAAAAACAGAACGAACGAATTAGCTCGCGGCGAGTCTCATCGAACCCACGAATTGACTCACAAGCCTTTCTAAATATTTTATATAAAAATTATATTTTTATGAGATATCTAGTTTTTTTAAGTTTTAATTTTTTTTATTATATTGATAATACTTTTAAATATTTTTAATATTTTTAATATATAATTTTTTTTTAAAAAAATTATATATTTATCTTGCGAACTAGCTAAAATATTTTCAGATGACAACGAGATGGGTTTGGGACATCCTTTTTACACCCCCTAACGAGAATGGACGACACCCTGTAATTCCGTACTACATTTAAAGTCCAGAAAAACATGTTATTTTAAGTTAATGATCCTTAAAAAACTAAATAAGATAAATTAATTAAAATCTATAAAAAAAAAACAAAAAGAAAATGCGTAACGTAACCAGCCACTTTGCACGTGTCGACTTGCTCGCCTCGCCATGAGCTACGCTTCCGTATAAATAGCGCACAATTACGTTGAACCCGGCAATCAGAACCTCGCGCCGCCGGAGAGATGCCGACGCCGACAACCGACGCCGGAGATACTCGATCGGAATTTCTCCGAGTTCTTCGGAGTAGACGATCGGCGGAAGGTTAGTGTTTCGTTTGGCTTTTTTTGCCTCGCTATGCATGTTCGGACGCTGGTGAAGTGTAATTAGAATCCTGATTTTCGCGAGGAAATTTTCATTTCTCTCTCTCTTTCGATGGAAATCGTCGATTAGATCATCTGATGTTTGATTTTCCTGTTTGAATGCCCAGTAAATGGAGATTGAGTTTGAATAAGTGCAAAAAGTTCGATGAGTTCGTTGATCCTGGAGCTGGGATGTTTTCTATCTGATTTTTTGTTTCGATATAAGCGGAGAAAAAAAATGACGCGAGAGTTCTAGTCGGCGATGCATTTAGATTTCTCTTTCATGCATTTCTTGATCCGGCGACCTGCACTTCTTTTTCCCCTGTTTGGATACCGGGAAAGTGAGCAGAGCGTCTGTATTATGCTCACAATTCTGCTGATCTCGCAGTTAAACGTCTCCTTTTGGTTTCTGATGTTTCTTTTTGGATTCTGCGAAAGCGGCTACAGAATTTGGGACCGCAAGAGTTTCATTCTCTTGTTCGTACCCTTGATTGTTTAGCCTCTTTGCTTTCCGGTTTTCTGTTTGGATTCTGCGAGGCTGCAGATCGAACTTGTTTGAATTATCCATTGATCATGTTTTTAATGAATTTTCTTCATGATTTTCTACTTGGATGCTGGAAATTTATGCATATCAGATTAATCTGCGTATCAAAATGTTTCGAAAACTTTCAGTTCCTTTGGAAGCTAAACCTTCAAAGCCGGTGGAGATTCCTCTGTTTCAGGCTGATGTTCCATCTACGGAGGTGATATCCCTTTTTAAAATATTCAACCCTTGATATGAATTGGTGAATTTGAAGTACACTTATAATAACGGGTTTGCTTTTGTTTTTGTTTTATCCATTTGCTACCAAGCAGGCAATAGAGTCTTCTCCAAGGGCAGATTTCAGTAATTTGAAAGAGCTACTTAAAGAGGAAAACCTTCATCTGAACACTGAGGTAATGGCTTCTTATCGTGATTTTGTTCCATTACGGGATATATTAGATTTTAAGCTATGATGTATATTCTTGGTTTGTTTGCTTCAATATCATACAAGTTTCGTGACCAGAAAAGAGCCGTAAGCTATGATGATGCGCTTTATTGTTTTCTGATACTCCCAGCAAAATCTAGTGTGTTATTTATGTTCTTGGTACCCGTTTTCCAATTTAAAGAGAAGCGAATTTTCCATCGTCGTCATCGATAGGCTGTAGAGCAAGGCAGCCTGCCATTGCTTATACTAAGCTTGAAAGAGAGCACTGAAGAAAGAAGGCCTGCTGTTGTGTTCATGCACAGCACAAACTCGAACAAAGAATGGTTGCGGCCATGGCTCGAGGTAAAAGAGTTTATACTTTCTCAAAGCTGTTTTTCGCCTAAATCCATTACACTTCCATGATATATATGCTTGGTTTAGGCGTATGCTTCTCGGGGATACATAGCAATTGGTCTAGACTCTCGCTATCATGGGGAGCGTGCAAATTGCAAGACGGCATATCGAGATGTATGCCATCGCTTTTTTCATTATTATGGTTTAGTAGCTTTTGAAAATTTTAGACTCACTCTGCTGAGTGTGATAGAACGAGTCAAGATAAGGATTTGTGCAAGATGAATGCAGGCTCTCATTTCATCATGGAAAAAGGGCGATACAATGCCTTTTATCTTCGATACGGTAACACTCCATCTATTTAGGCGCATTTATACGAATACATATAGATACGACGGTATCTCCAGTGAGCGATGTGAATACGTATTCGTTTCAGGTATGGGATCTGATCAAGCTGGCTGACTATCTAACTCAGAGGGAAGATATAGATCCTAAACGGATAGGAATCACCGGCATATCGCTCGGAGGTTAGTTACAGAACATAAGGTGTCGAAAACCGAGATCACAGGCTCGACACTTAACGTTCGTAGAAATGCAGGAATGTGGCTGTCCCTTTAATCGGTGTTCAGGTAAAAGAGTCGTTCAAGTGTTCTCTCTCCTCTTCCTCCAGACCAAAGATATCAGTGAATCCCAATTGTTATCTGATCTAGGTCACTTCTTAAGCAAGGTTTTGCATTTGGTATTGGCTGAATCAGTTATAAGGTTTTGGGTGTACGGACATGGTAACAGTGTGGTTGTGAGATATGTTGCAGGGATTTAGGTGGGCCATAGACAATAATATGTGGCAGGCAAGAGTGGACAGCATAAAGCCTTTATTTGAAGGTGCATATCACCATCCATTGCACATTCTAAATCACATGCGGGGCTTTCCTTATCATGAGATGCGATATATAACTCATCTCAGGGATTAAAAAAAGAAAAAAGAAAAAAGAAAAAAGAAGAACATAATATAAGACTTTGGGGGGATGGATAGATATCAATGGAGGATCTACAGGTGTTGTGGCATGTAATATGTTTCAAACCCTCGTCTTTATGTGGTTTCAGAAGCAAGGATCGATCTTGGAAAGAGTCAAATCGACAAAGAAACAGTTGAGAAGGTAACAATAGCATCTCACTATAGGTGGTCATTTCGGGTTTTCTTTGGGTTCGGTTCCATTTTTTTCATTTTACAAAAATTATATTCGTTCAGGATTCATATTGGCTTCGGTTTGATTGCTATTCAAAACCATTAGTTTTTTTAAAAAAATTTATGATAATACATATTTTTCAAAGAAATTTTCAATTATTTTTATATACAGTTGGAGTTAAATGAGTTCAGTTTTCACTACTGGGGAGATCAAAATCATTTGGGTTTTAATTTAATTTTTGGTTATAATGTCTACCTTTATTCCTACCTGTACCACGTAAACCCTTGACCACATGACCCTCCCTTTCTATTGACCTAAACTTTGTATTTTGTGGGGGCATTAATTAAACAATGAATACTGAACTTTGTGGTGCATTAAAAATGCTGGATATTTTTTTTGAAATAAAAAATTATAGGATTTTTCCCATGAGGTTTTTTTTTTGGTAGCTTTGGAGTTTGTTTTATATCGTATTTGGGATTAAACAAAAAAAAAAGAGAGCAGGTCTGGGAAAGGATAGCACCGGGGCTGGCCACGAAGTTGGACGCACCCTTCACATTACCCTTCATTGCCCCGCGTCCTCTGTACGTCCTCAATGGTAAACAAACACCAAACCAACTTCTCCTCTATCTCTTCTTTCACTCTTTTTTTTTTTTTTTTTTTTTTTTTTTTTAACAACTCTTTTAGGCAAGTGTGATCCTCGTTGCCCGGTCGAAGGAATAGAAGTGCCACTTGAGAAGGCGAGATCTGCATACGAAGCTTGTGGTTTCCCCCACAATTTCAAGGTAATGCCGTTACCCTTTTCTTATTTCATGTGGCGGTGATGGGTCAAAAAGAAAAAGAATTAAGCCTTGCCCAAATTCAACCCAAGCTCATTCAGACTTTGCGTATATGGAAATGGGGGACACTGTCCGTAGACCTTTATATATATATATATATATATATAATGCGTGATTGGGTTTTCATTGAAACGGTCAGTTCACGGCGGAAGAAGGAGTTGGGCACCAAGTGACAAAGTTCATGATCAAAGAAACGAGTGATTGGTTCGATAAGTTCCTCTGAAGCCTCATCTGCTCTTCCACCCTAATTCATATATACGTGTTACTATTGAACTGAACCCAGTGTTCCACCACCCTTTTGTCCCCAGCATCGTGTTTGTAAAGATGTAATAAATAATAATTTACCACCTCCCCCCTCCACAAAAGAAGAAGAAGATAATTGTATTCTCTCCCCTTTGTTTTATTCAACACTACATATTTATGCAATTTCCCACTGGCATCGTATTTGGTCAGTTTCATCTGCTATGTACACCCATAAATCTTGCTCATAAGGAAACTAAACATGATGTCTCTGTATATTTACATATTCTACTGATTGTTGTGTTTCCATAAAGGAGATATATATATATATAGAGAGAGAGAGAGAGAGACGTAAAAACAAGGTATTTGAGATTAAAGAGACGAAACAAGCAGGACAATGCACATCAAATTCACCATGATTACAACGTTTGAAGCCGAAGCAGTACAGAGATGTAGAAACGGAGAGTTGATCGGCAGCCACAGAGAGACAGCTCACCGAGGTTTGTGAATGAGCGCATGTCGCAAATATCGAGGTTCATCGCCCAGTCACCAACCATAGGATTCACCATCCTTCTCCTCAGCATCAAAACCACCTCTCTCTCGGAGATCCATCAAAAGCTCCGGCGACTGCGGCAGCCGACGGAGGGCTTCCGGACAATTTCCCAATGGTTCTCTCTCTCTCTCTCACTGAAATTCCGATTCTCACTTGCCAGAGAGAAATACAGAAACTCCGTTGTTTCCTTCTCTGCGATGAACGGATTTTTTCCCAAAATGAAAAAGAAAAAATAAAATTGTGATTTGTAGTAAAATTTATTGGAAATTTCATAATTAAAATTTTAGAATTTAATTACATTTGAAACCAGTTACGAAACAGACAATACAACTTTCAAGTGAATGATTATTCGAATATCTCTATATATAAAAGCGAATAAATTAAGAAAAAAAAATACTGTGAGCTTATATTATATGATTCAAACCCTAACGGTGTATTTCAGAACAAATTAACTACAACTATTCATATAATATGTTTTTAGTAAATTCTGTAACCGGACTTGGTTTAAGGTTCCACTTTATTGTGACGCACCTGGGCTTTCTCTAACCTTGGGTCAGGCCGATGTTGGCCCAATTTCAATTTCCAAACCCAATCCAGAATCTAATTTAACCCGACCCGATAACCCAACATTATTCTTCTGTAAACCCTAGCCAGTTTTCTTACGCTCTCGCACTGCGTTTTTCTCTCTCCTCTTTCCGTGTTTCATTTTCTCCCAAACCCTATTTTCCTGCAGAATCTTCCACAAGGGACCGAAAGGAGATTCTGTAACCATGGCGAACAACTACGAGTACGAAGATGCGCCGTCGAGCTACGACGAGGCTCACCGGCTCGGCGGTGGTCCCGGTCAGGATGCCGGGTACGACCCGAACTACGTCCCCGACTCTGTGAAATCATTTGTGGTTCACATGTACAGGCACATTAGGGAGAAGAATGTCTATGAGATCCACCAGATGTACGAGACATCGTTCCAGACATTGTCGGACCGGCTGTTCAAGGACACTCCTTGGCCATCTGTCGAGGCCATTGCTCCTTTTGTGGATAACGATCATGTATTCTGTCTCCTATACCGTGAGATGTGGTTCCGGCACTTGTACGCAAGGTTGTCGCCTACGCCGAAGCAGAGGATTGATTCATATGATAACTATTGCAGCCTATTTCAGGTTTGGCACCCAACTCTCGTTTGAATTGTCTTTTTTACTTGATGCGGTTGTTTGTTTTTCGATTTATATGGATTTGATGCGTTTTTGTTGGATGTAGTATTAGTTGGGATCTCTCTGAGGTTGATCCATGATGATCTGATTTTTGTCCTTCAATTGATATATTCAGATGGGTACTAGTGAATATAGGATCTTGTTTGAGGTTTAATAAATATAGAATTCTTAACTAGCTTTGTAGAATCTTGGATTTTCAGGCTTTACAGTTGTATGTTCGACGGTAGAATACAACTTTTACTGTATTTTAGTGCCTCCATTCTCTGAACTTACGCTGTGTTTAGTTGGATTTGAATGACTTTTGAGGTTTTCGTTGAATTTGGTAGGTGGTCTTGCATGGGGTGGTGAACATGCAGCTGCCGAACCAATGGCTTTGGGATATGGTGGATGAGTTTGTCTACCAGTTCCAGAGCTTCTGTCAGTACAGAGCCAAGATGAAGAACAAGACGGAGCAGGAAGTTGCATTGCTGAGACAGTACGATCAGGTATGGATATGGTCCCTCTCTCCTTGTTAGGATTCTGTGGTAGGGTATTATAAAACTTGCTGGAGTATAGCGCATATGGTTTCAGCTTCTGATAATGAGTAATATAATATGTAGGTAGCTGTGGTTGATGCCATCTATTTTCTGTATGATTCTTATTCATAGACTACAATCTTGATAGGAAAAGTGGATACTAGGGGAACTGCCACTGCTACCTTGGGTTTTGGTGTATCTTTGATTCTTTGCCATGCTTCATGTAGTCAATTAAACTCATTTGAAGTTAGCTTAGCAGTTGTCTTTTCTTTCTGTTGTCTTTCATGTGTTTTTAACTGGTTTTCTTTAGGTGTTCTTTCATGTGTGTATAACTCATACATGTTTCACCACAGGCATGGAATGTGTATGGGGTGCTCAACTATTTGCAAGCTCTTGTTGAAAAGTCTACAATAGTCCAAATTCTCGAGCAAGAGAAGGAGGGCCTTGAACAGTTTACTGCCACTGATGGGTATGATTACAGTGGTGGAAGTAACGTGTTGAAGGTTTTGGGATACTTCAGTATGGTTGGTCTGTTGCGTGTTCACTGTCTCCTGGGTGATTACCATACTGGTCTGAAATGGTTACAGCCGATTGACATCAGTCAGCAAGGTGTTTATACCAGTGTCATAGGATGCCATATTGCAGCTATATATCATTACGGATTTGCCAATCTAATGTTGCGGAGGTAGAGCCTATTTTTTTTTTATGTGACAACATATATTGCATTTGGATGGAAAACATTTCTTCACTGAGGAAGCTTTCGCAAAATTTCTTAACCTTGGAAACTTGCTAGCATACTTAAGCTGGAGCTGAGACATATTAGAGTAATTTTATTGAGTACCTTAACAATCCGAGCTAAATTTGGGTGTGTGTAACACCGTAACTTTGGAGGATGTTATAGGGAGTAAATGTTAAGCCTTTGTGAAATAGTTGGTGATGTTTGCGTAGAGAGATAACATTTTGTTTGCATTGTTATGTACTGATAAAAGATTATTATTTTCGTACTGTACTTTTTTGTTTATATTATATTATACCCATTGATTTTAACAACATTGACAATTAATTCTTTCATTTTGCTCTGTTAAATGAATCCTTTGTGAGCATTCTTCCAAGTGGAGGAAACGCTGATGACTAAATCTTCTGCGCAATCTTGACAGGTATGTAGAGGCCATTCGGGAATTTAACAAGATTCTCTTGTACATTTACAAGACGAAGCAGTATCATCAAAAATCTCCGCAGTATGAACAAATACTTAAGAAGAATGAGCAAATGTATGCATTACTTGCAATTTGCCTCTCGCTCTGCCCTCAAACAAAACTTGTTGATGAATCGGTGAACTCTCAGTTGCGAGAAAAGTATGGTGAAAAGATGATGAAGATGCAAAGGTATGACGATGAGGCATTTGGTTTGTATGACGAGCTCTTCTCGTATGCATGCCCCAAGTTCATTACCCCCTCGGCACCAAGTTTCAGGGAGCCGCTTGTAAATTACAATCAGGTGCTATATCCGTCTTTTTAATTGCTCTGCTGTCTTCTACCTTGATGGCTTACGAAACTCATATACTTAACTGTTTTCCGCGACTCAAGCATTGTTGGACTAATTACTATTATATTGTAGCGGTCAACTTAATCTGTTCTATCAAATCGGTTGATTTGCTTAGAAGAACCCATCTTAGTTGTCGGAGGCTAGAATGCAAGTGGTTCAACATGATTGTTGACTTCAAACGATGAAATGTTTCAACAATATTGTTATTTTATCGATCTGCTATCGGGTTTAATTGATTTCGATTATCTACTCTTCAACTTTTCAGGATGCATACAGGCTTCAGTTGAAGATGTTTCTTTACGAGGTAAAGCAGCAACAGCTGTTGTCTGGAATCCGCACGTTCCTGAAAGTCTATTCCACAATTTCTCTTGCTAAGCTCGCAAACTACATGGAAGTCGATGAACCGACTTTAAGGTTAGTGGCCTCTACCCAGCTTTTTGATGAACCAAAATCTTTATTTAGTGACAGTAGTAAAACTGGTTTCACATCTACTGAGGTATTGTCACAGGACAATCTTGTTGACATACAAGCACAAAACCCATGCGGTTGATTCTGAAGGGAGAGTCATAATATCCAACGCAGACATTGATTTCTACATCAACAATGTATGTTTTTTCCCATTTCCCATCTTTTTTCATACGACTCAGATGATGTTTTACTGTCATATTCGATCTTGAATGCTTAAAGAATGGATTTGACTATTGAATTGGATCGATCGGATGTTACTGCAGGACATGATCCACGTTGTGGAGTCGAAACCTGTGAAACATTACGGAGATTTCTTCTTGCGGCAGGTTGCAAAGGTACTCCGACATCTATGAACTCAAACACACACAAACACACACAAATTCAATGGATACACTGACTGCCATTTTAGTATTTGCTAATACTTACAAAAATAAGCTTTTCGTCAAAATCCCAAATGCAAATGAAACATGATTTTTGGCCATTTGTAGCGTGTAGATACGTTTTTATTTTCCTTGTGCAAGTCTAGATGTCGACGTTTAACAACGTTGTTTTGTTGAATTGAACCCTTTTGCAGCTTGAAGGCGTGATAAACGACTTGGACCGTGTGAAGCTGGAATGATTATAACGCAACGACAACGTCCATCTCCATTCTCTCTCTCTCCCATTTTGGTGTCCAAACTCTGCTTTACATTTATGACCTCTTCTTTTCCTCTGTTCTATAAACAAATAGAAAGTTTTTGCAGCTGCTTTATATTTGATCGAACGAATGCTCTAAGCATCTTTCTGGATGTAAGTTATTGACCTACTACGGGTGCACGAGCCTCATCTTCACCCCTTCAGTGTTTGGAAAGTTGAAAAAGAATGCTTGTTTCTCTTTCATATAAAATAAGGATTCAAATATTGACGAATTCCCCGAATCCATAAAGACGGATTTTGAATAACTGTATCCGAAAAGGGATCCACTTTTTTGAAACGTTAAATACCAATGTCGTCCGGACCGGATATCCTTTTCTTTTTTTTGTGTATTCAATCTCGGTTTTTGTAAGATAGCCGGAACTTCGGGTATCCAAAAGTTAGGTGAAAGGTCAAAAGGTGAAAGAGT